AAATCGGCCGAGGAGAAGACCAACAAACGCTTCTGCTTCGAAGTGGCCACGCCCGACTCGACCTTCTACATGTACGCGGAGAACGAGAAGCAGAAGGACGAGTGGATCGGGGCTATCGGGCGCGCAATCGTCAAGTTCTCCAGCTCCTTCACGGGCGACCAGGACGACGACGCTAACTAACACACGACAGCTATCGTAGGGACCAGTACAGGACACGTGAAATGCATATAAAGACTGATGAAGAAGACGAAAAAATTATTTACAACTTTGCAAGAAAAGAAAAAAAAAATACGGTAAGAAAAAACTTGTGGAGTCCAGGTGGGCAGAAGCTTGACACACTGCTTCATGCGCAGTGCTTCCCGATATGTTTGAGGCCGCTTACTTTTCAGACAGCACCTTGAAGAGGCTGGGTACCACCTCCATGCGCCAGGGTCCTCCTTCCAGCACTTCGCCGTCGATGTTCATGCAGTCGTCCAGTTGGTCAGGCTCAATCTCGACGGCCTTGACCTTCAAGTACGAGATCAGTTCGCTCTGGAGCTCCTTGCCCATCAGATACAGACCGAACAGCTTGGCCACGGCTACCAAACCGCCCTTACGGGTGAGAATGAGATCCAAATTGCCATCTGAAGGGTGCGAGTAAGCGCCGTCAGGAGTGATGTTGACAACGCCCACCACAACGTACTTGCTGCAGTCCTCTTTCCACAGGAACTCGGGGTATCTCTTACGACTGGCAGGACTTGAAATACTGCCAGCGATGCCTCCCCACGACTTGCGTTGCTGACTGAAGCGGTCCATATCGTACACTGTGCCTTCCTCCACTTCGAACTGGTCGAGTGCACCGGCATCCGGATAATCGTCGTACCGGAGAAGTGGCGGCTGCGGTTCCGTCAACACGTACCGGACACGGCCACTGTGTTTCTTGGGCAACACAACGGTGCGCTTCACCTTGAGGAAAGCATATCGTAGTGTACCCATCCAACGGTACCGTTCCGACTCGGCAGCGATGTCGCCTGCAACACCCCAGCCGAGACCGCAGTAGCTGTAGTGCACCACCTCCGGGTTGGCAGCAGACACAGCCGTCACCACATCCAGTGGACGCATTTTGCGCTTCAAGATGCAGTACAGAGCGGCGTTGACTGTCGGGATACCCGCCCCCGTGCCAAAGGCGTTCTGGGTACCGGCTGAAATGAGCGAAATGGGCGTTGACGCCACAATTTCGCGCCATTCATGCTCTGGACGAGTGAGTAGTCCATTCATGAACTCACATAGGGTTCCGTCTCCTCCGATAAACACGAGGGCTTCAAAGCCATCGTCAGCCGAGTAACTTTTACCCATTTCGGCACCATGGCCAGAATGGGTCGTTTCTTCCACTACGCAATCAAAGTTACCCAAATCCAGGAATGGCTTCACTTTGTCTGCCCAAATGCGACGAGCTTGGCGTTTACCCGAATGAGGGTTAACCACCACCTTCAAGAGCCGCTTCTCGGAAATAGGCGGAGCGCGAGCTTGCCAGCGTACGAGCTCCTGGATGGCGCCGACCCAACTGTCCACTACGTCAGTCTCGAGGCAGTGGAAGTCCACGTATTTGGGCTTGCGTAGTAGTGCCTTGGCTCCAGTGCCGCGACCCTTTTTGAAGTAGTGCACACGGAAGGTGTCGGCCTTCTTCTTGGCAATGACCTCGGCGCCCACCACGTCGTCGGTGGACAAGACGCCGAGTGTTTTCTTGCCTCTTGACCACGTGATGGTCTCCGGATCCAGTCTCAACTCGCACTTGCGGACGTGGTGATCCACCCGCACGACCGTGTTGAGCTGGGTATCGAGTGGAGCTTCTCGTCTCGAGAAGGCGGTGACTCGACGAATGCTCTCGCGTAGGCTGCTGCCCACGACCTCGTGTGGGTTATCGAACGTAAAGTCTCCGACCGAAGTAGAGCGCATACTGAACGCGGTCTTGGCGAGTTCCCTGGCCGATTCCCTGGATAGCTGCTGCACGTACGTTTGGCTACGTTTAGGCGGCATTCCGTGACTACTGGCCTTGCCGGCACTACGCGTGTGTGGCGACAACGGCGGCAACTGCAGCTGACGTTGCACGTATTGCTGGTAATTCTTGTTAGCGTCGCTGTTACTCTGAGCCTGTGAGAGCGTAGGCAGCGCGAAACCGCTTTGACTACTGGTCTCGGCTTCCTCCTCGGGCGTCTTGGGCGTCGTAAGCTCCACGTCGCTGGAGCGTACACCGCGCGGCGATAGGATATTGGACGATTGCGACGAGTAAGACGCTTCCTCGGCGCCTGCGAAGTGCACGGAGCTCTTGCCGTGTGAACTGGGCGGAGTGTTCAATCCGTCCAGGAACGACGTGTTGCCGCCTCGTGGCGTCATACTCAGCGCTCCTTCGGGTACGGTCTGCGGACCGCGGCTGGTGGTCGGACTCATGCTGTTAGTGCACCTGATCGGGGTCAGCTAAGACCCACTCACGCCGCTCGAGTCTGCTCTGCGTCGCAGCCAGAGTTTCGATTATGCTGATTGCCCTTGCTGTTGCGCTCGCTCTATCCGTTCGACACAAAGGTTAATGGGTAGGGAAAGGGATTACCACAATCCAGTCAGTGCTAAAAGCGAGCTAAAAGTCCTCTATTTATAGGCTGACTTCTGTACAGTACATGCAGCGAGTGGATACAGGCGTCGTCGGACGAGTTGATTCAAGTCGTCGAACGACGCTTAGTTTGATTGAGGCGATGGCGGGCGCCACGAGGCAAGTACATGCCTTACAGCGCTGCATCGGAAGTCGATATCGGAACGCGATACTGTATGTGCGGTATTGCCGCATGACTTAGAGTTTGTATGGGCTGATTGGAAGTTGATGTGGGACCATGCGGGACGTTTAGCTAATTCGGACTTTAAAAAGTAGCTTGGAGAGTCATATTTCTTGATTACACCAATCTGAATGGCTCAGCTGAGGCTTTCGATTACCCCGGTGACAAAACCGGAGTACAATCGAGTTCCGCTGTCATCGAGCCTCTAATTTATTTACCAATTGTCGGAATTTCCAAGCTAATGCTTTAGTAATATTTTCGGCTTTTGCTCCAGAAGTGTAATGTCAGTGTCCGAAGTAAAAACTACAGGCACAGACAAGAGAGGCGATTCGTGCTTTCGTCGACTAAGGACTGTTCGTTACAGATTCAACGTCTGTATGGCGGTTGCCTCCGAAATTGGTGAGTTATACCGAGTACAGCCAACTACAGGAATATCTTGTACTTGAAATATGTCGCCAACTGGTCTAACTGTTTGTACTCGTCAATCACGGAAATGGCTACCGCACTGACACTGACATCATGACCTAGCTGTTTGTACTCGAAATAACTCGTCAATTAACAACGCGAGAATGCGCGATTGGATTGAGGCGTTAACTCGAATAATTAGCATTGAATTGAGAAGTTTACGCTGTTTGCTTCCTAACGTCAGAGCGCATTTTTGTTGTCGAGAATTTTCAGCACTGCATAAATGTTGATGGCCAAAAGCATGCAGCGAGAGAGCCAACTTGAGACAGGGCTATGCCATTGCATATCGCCAAGTCAACACAGCGCTATCGTAGCCTGTGCTGTCGATCAGCGATCGTCGAGCTATCAGCAGCAATCAAAATTCCTTGTATATTCCTATTTTGTCATCTGCTTTATTGGACGGATTTTGAAGCCAGCAGCTGCAGACGTGGTCTCATCCAGCCATGATCGCGCATCAATACTGAATGCAAGTTACTTACTGTTTTGTAAAGTGCCTCTGTATCAGCATCAAAATACAACGTTGCCGCCAGGTTGTGGTCCAAACTTCGGGGCTTAAAGTTGCCTTCTGCAATGCCTCCTGGAGCGGGAGGTGGTCGTAATACAATCCTCCGCACGAGAGTTATGTTGTGTCTTCCAATACTAATGGCATATTAAGGGGTTATCGAATAATGAAGGTTAATTTTATACATGAATCCTCTACAAAACATTCATTGTACAATATGATAAATTAAAAGAGGCTCTCTAAAATTGAGGTAAACATGTGGGAACCAATCAAAGCGTAAAATTGTTTATGTGCCCATAATACCACTTTTGGTTGGAGTCAACTTCATGGACTTATGCACAGTTAACCTTTTCCATCTTCACTTTCACCATTGGTCCTAAAATTAACCAGATTAAATACAACGACCAATAATATCTCTCTGTTCAATCTCACAACTCACTTCCAAAAACCAACATGGCAGCAGGCACGCGCTCAACCGACCGCTCGGCCGATCGCCGTGTGCGTCGGTCCCATCGCTCGCGCAGTCGCTCGCCGTCCGCTTCACGCTCCCGTCGCTACTCACACCGCCGCTCCTCGAAACGGCGCAGTGTGAGTCGCAGCCATAGCCGAGAACGCTCCCGACGTTCCAGTCGCCACCACCAGAGCCGCAGGCGCCACCGATCGCGCTCTCGCTCGCACTCCAGAAAGCGCCACAAGCGACACCGTCGTGATAGCGATGACAAGCGATCCAGGCGTCGCTCGCACTCTAAATCCAGGTCTAGGTCGACGGCTAGAGCAAAGGAGAAGAAGCAAAACGATAAGCCGACCATTACGTCGCCTTCCGCCTCGCTCTCGCAAGATTCTCAGACCGAGAAGTCCGTAGTTGATGCAGATAAGACACAGGTTAATACGACTGAAGATGTGGCCATGGAGGACGTCTCAGAACCTCAGAAAGAGGCGCAATTGACTCAGACTTTGGCCAAGATCGCAGTCCAAGAAATCAAAAAGGAGGAAGCTACAGTCGACAAGAAGGAGGAGGCAACTAAAGCTGTCAATCAGGAGTCTGATGACAAGCAAGAGCCAACAACTCCCAAGCCAGCGCTCGATGTGAGCTCAATCAAAGCAGATATCCTCAAGGCGCTCGCCGACGCCAGAAGTACCATCGCCGTGATCAAGAAAAGCGGAGCCAACACCTCCGTTGCAACCACCCCCACAGCAGCAACAGCCCCAGTCACTGTCGGAAAGGAAAGCGAAGAAAACCCAGTAGAATCACCTAAGAAAGAGACGACCCCGTCACCACAGCAGCCAACTCCATCTCCAAAGAAGACCGTCCCTACTGACGAGTTCGACATGTTCTCAATGGCAGCTCTGGATGACCATAACGATGCAATGAACGGCAGCACAGGCGTCGCTGCAATAACAGTGGATGAAGTAGCATTACAATCCAATTGCGACGACGCTGAAGGGTACTATTCCACTACAATTGGAGAGGTGCTGAACGGCAAGTACCGTGTGCTCGGTACTGTCGGAAAAGGCGTGTTCTCCACGGTACTGCGCTGTCAGTGCATCACTCCGCTAACGACCGATACTGGTCACTCCCTCAGTGTCGTCGCAGTCAAACTTATCCGGAACAACGACGTCATGCGTGATGCTGCACAAACGGAACTGAAGCTTCTCAAAGAATTAGGAAAGCGTGACCCACGCGACAAGAAACACTGCATCCGACTACTAGACTCGTTCACGCATCGGAACCACGTAGCCATGGTGTTCGAGCCCATGCAGATGAACGTTCGTGAAGCCATGAAGAAGTTTGGAGGCAAAGGAGGCATTTCGATCCAAGCTGTACGGATTTTCAGCAAGCATCTGCTTGTCGCGCTTAATCATCTGGAATCCTGCGGTGTTATCCATGCTGGTACGGATAAAAGAATGTATTTGGAAGTGGTTAAATAACTAAGTTGTTATGAACAGATATCAAACCGGATAACATGCTGCTGGATGAGAAACAAACGACCATCAAGCTGTGCGACTTTGGCTCGGCGTTTAAAGCGGACAACGGGAAGCAGGACCCGACGCCGTATCTTGTTAGTCGGTTCTACCGCGCGCCCGAGATCGTGCTGGGTCTTGCCTACGACAAAGCGGTAGATATGTGGTCTGTCGGTTGTTGCTTGTACGAGATGTTCACTGGCAAAGTTATGTTTCCAGGGAGCACGAACAACGAGATGCTCAAATTCTTTATGGAGCTCAAGGGCAAGATCCCGAACAAGTTGATTAAGAAGCATCGTCAGGCGTATATCGACCAATTCGAGATGGAACCGCACTTTACGGAAGACCTCAAGTTCTGCAGCCGAGAAAGCGACCGTGTAACGGGTAAGACGTAGTTTTAAGCTTAACACTGTATTTTATGGGTTTAGTAGTGCTAATGTTGTGCTTATCCTGTGTTTGACCAGGTAAACCTGTGTTGCGCTTGATGGACACCATCAAGACCAAGAACGATCTTGTTGGCAGTCTGATGGCAGCGAAGAGCGCCACGGATGACCGGAAGCAGGTGCTGGAGCTGCGTAGTCTACTGGATCGGATGTTCACGTTGGATCCGACGAAGCGCATTACAGTGAGAGATGCACTAGCGCACCCGTTCGTGAAAGGCTCGTGAGAAGGACAACAGAGACTTGATCCAGTGAACTTCCCAAGTAAGCCGGCATCGTACTACACAGACTGGTTTCCAGTTTCATGGCCTGCCCGTTATGGTAAAGCTGAATGCTTAGTTGCTCTTTCTCTTCTGCTAACCCAAGCGTTTGTTCCGTTTTACCGTGCAACATGACCGATTCGATTTGAAACTGTTTCTGAATATTTGCTTATTGTCTCCTTCCTATCTGGCCGTGGGTAAATGACTCATTTGAGAAGTTGTGGCATGGAGTGGGGTACGTGTACGTTAACTTACGTTGTATCAGGTTGATCATTGGGAGCTACGCTTCAATCCAAGTTTCAGCATAACCACTTTCCACAAAGCTCCATGAAAACCGTATCTACTATCGCCGCAGCTTCCATTGCGCCTGTCACCGTTGCTTACCATGTCGAGTTTTTGGCAGAGAGAGATGTTGGGTTGAATACATACACAATGGGAATCCGCGCCACCATCAATGACGATAGTTTTTGCGGTGGATCGCTGATCTCTTCTACGCATGTACTGACTAGGACGGCGTGTCGTGGTAGTGTACTAAGCCGGCGAGTTGGGTGTCTGTAGGCTCTACCTCAATGGCACACATGACGGCGAGCAGATTAAAAACAGACCGCGCACAAATCTAGCATCTACATCTAGACGACATGATGTTTTGGGCTGAAGCTGTCGATATCGAGACTTCAGATTAAATAAAACTTGCTCATAGTTTCATGATTTTATTTTGTCGCTGTTCAGGATAAAAAGTGTCCACTATCGAGACGTTTCGTTCATCATTAACCTTGTTTTCCTAGCTCGTCGCGAACGAGTAGCACAGATAGAGAAAGACCAGTGTGAAGATCATGCCTCCTATGACGATCCAAAAGTCCACCGTATCTCTCCTCTCGATCACTCGCAGCAGTGAACTGGACAGTCCTAATCTATTCGCAATATCCAACAATTTGGTGCGCACATTCTACACAATCACATAGTGCCTCATCAGCCTCTCCTTCTCCCTCCTATACTGTAGATACACGCACCTTCATGCGGTTACGTTGCTCGCCCAGATCCCCCAGAATGGACTGCGACAGACTCGTGAGGTCTGAGACCATCTGTGACGATCGCTGCAGACTTTCCGACTCCTGCGCTGCGTACATGGCTCCATTGCCACTATCAAAACCCTGTAACAATGCATTAGCGCCCATTGATCCAATAACCCCTTCATAGCGTTCGTACCGCGTTTCGTCTGCTCATGAGACTCTCGCGTTCTCGCGCCTCAACTGCACGGCGGTTTACACTGTAAATATGCTGCTCCAGTGTGCTGCCCAGAGCGTGGGTCTCACTACGCAGCTGCTGCAGTCTTTTAGTCCATGTGTCCTTCTCTGTAGGCTTGGCATTGGTCTGTACGAGCGAGTCCAGTTGCCACAGAAGCTGCTCCAGTGTACTGAGGTTCCCTCTGGCTTCGGCTTGTAACTCGGCGTCCGTCTTGCCGCCTGTACGGCCCGAGTCCAGGTAGCTCATCTGCATCTTGAGCTCGAACTGCAGCTTACGCGCCTGCGGGTACAGCGAGTCCAGCGTCTGGCGGCCATGGCCCATGCCCGCATGCATCTCGACAAGTCCACGCGGCACCTAAATGACGTTTTGTAATGCTGAATGTTGTGTCGTCACGGTATCGGCTTAAAGAGGGGAAATATGTACCCATTGTCGATCGGACTGTCTTTCACTTGTGGTCGTGGTATCTTTTAAGACGACCATCATTTTTGAGGGGGGCGATCCATCATCTCGACATAGAAACGGCGGCTGGGCCACTGATGCCTTTCAGACTTTATGTCGTGAGCTAGCATAAGATTACCTAGCAAAGTAAGGATCTATGCCGTAGCGTATGGTTAGCGCATAGCCTTTCTAATCCGATCGGATAATACTGCTTCATGCTGGCATTGAAGAAGAGCTTCCTGATGCATCTAAAACACCCTAAATGAAGCTGCCCATCAGTGAGTAGAGCAGATTAAGGTCTTGCACAACAGTCTCCAGAAGTACCCATGAGACTGCACGTAACTGCGCATGATTCTGCTTGGTATTCGCCGATATGGTCAACCAGTGGCCACTTTTGTGAGCTTGGGCGCATAAATGCTTGGATTCTAGAAAATTCGACCACATTCATTAGAAGGGACATGTTGTCTGCGAACGTCCACCATGTCTACCGCACTGGACGCATTAGTGGCAGCCGGTGGATGCTGCGACGGAAATGTCTGCTGCTGCGACGGCGGTAGTAGTAATTGCAGTCTAGCGCGAACTCGCAAAGCACTAAACATAGCGGACAGCGGCAAACGCCAGGCATCGCTATAGCAGCGGTGGTGGTCGTGAAAACGAAAATGCCGTTGGGGACAGCAGGGGAATAAAATTATATCAAGTGGTGGTGGGTCTTATTCATGTCGCATTCTCCCTGTCAAATCGGATCACTGGCGTACCCGACTTTGGTCGGTTGTCCTCGTTTTTTTTTTTTATCTGACGCGACCTGTCGCCCAGGCTCCTCTGGCGTGCTGTGGGCTGTTGTGCTAATGGGCGTCCTTCTTGGTGGCTAAATCCTCGCGTGCACCAATAACTTTTCTAGTCAAATGCTTCTATGCCACTTTCGCGGCGTTTCTTGCTGTAAAATCGATGCGCGGGACGCGCACTGTACTGCTCCGAAGTCCGCCCACTTTTCCGAAAAATCGTACTCAGTTATAGAGGTCACTGCGTTTAGATGTCGCCCCTCCCAGCGTCTCTTTTTAACCCCTTTCTCGTGCACTAAACAACAGGTACGGCAACAGAACGCTGGGGTACGGCAACAGAACGCGACCTCGGAATTCGCTGGTGTTCGATTTGAGATCGCATTTGCGGCCAGCATTAAGTTTGACAGGACATCACCCAGCTGCACTTACGACGACGACCTCAGAAGCGAATTTGCGGCCCTGAGCAACAACCAACGAGCTTGTGCCCGTGAGTGCGTTTTGAATGACAACAGCCCCAACCTGTCTCGCTCTTGACGTAGGGGCTTCAACACGACACCAACTAACCAAAATCTGTGTAACGTGTCTTGGCGATACCCTCAAAGCAGGAACAGTAACATTGCAAGAAGCTTATTATAAGCAAGAAGCAGCAGGCCTTGAGCCCCTCCGCAGCCATGAGCAGCAACTTCACGCGCGATGCGACGGTCCCGTCGTCCACCAGTGCGCAGAGCTCGACGGCCACTGTGACGTCGAGTTCGACGACAACCACGACCACAGCCACAGCCTCCACCAACCCCAACGCCAATGCCAATAACAGCAGCACTAGTCCGAGTGGCAGCAGTCCCAGCAGCTCGGGCGACGGCAATGGCCGCCCAGGCAATGCGCAGCAGAGCTCCGGCAGTGACGGCAGTAGCCCCATGCGTCGTCTGCCAACCGTATTGCGTGCTCCTCCCGGGGCGAATAGCGGTACCCCGTCCAACGCCACCAGTGCGCCGGTCGCCACGGCCGCCTCGACCACGCGGTCGCAGACGCAGGCTCAAGCGGCTCAACAACAGGGTCAGAGTCAGAGCCATTCGGCGATCAATACCGCTACAGCTGGTAACCGAGACATTACCGGTATGGGTCGTCGTCACATGTACCCGAGCCAGGCGCTCGCCAGTCCGTACGGCGGCAGTGGTGCGCCATCGCCGGCACAGATGCAGCCTCAATACTTTGGATCCGAAGGCGGACGTATCACGACCGCGTCGTCGTCGTACAACCACGACCACCTATCTCCAGTGTCATCTCCAGCAATGGGCGAGTCGTGGGCTAGCGCTGGCAATATGGCCAATCGTGGACTCAAACGCCACCTTCCGCAACAATATGACGGCTACAGTCGAGCAGGATCCAGCACTAGCAGCATCCGGATGCCGCAACAGCAACCCGCAATGCAAAACACAGCGAGCGCCACACAATCCGGAGCTCGCAGAGGCCCCAACTCGCGCTCGCCTACAATGCAGATATACGGGATGCCACCGAACGAAGATCCCATGCAGTACGAACCATCAGGTGAGGCGCGTCACCCTCGTGACAGCACACGGTACGAAACGTGGACGTCCAAGCAGCTCCGCAAAAAATGTTCGCACCTGAAGCTCCGCGGCCTCAAGAATGTGAAAAAGCATGTGATGGTGGAGGCGTTATACCGGTACTACCGGAATCAGCGACTCAAAGACATGGCCGACGCAGCCAGCGCCGAAAAGATCAGCGCTGCGTCACAGCAGATCTCGTCGCCACAGCCGCCCCAGCAGCGGCGAATGGACGCCCGACGGCCGTCTAGTATCAGCGGCAGCTCTGTATCGGGCGGGCGTCCCGATATGCAGTATCCATCGCGGTACGACCAGCGCAACGCCGGCCCAACGCAGTCTCAATACGGTCCGTACAACTCGCGATCCCGTAGCTACAGCAACTATGGCAGCCAAAGTCCGTCGCCTCCGTCGAGTGGAGGAGACAGCGCTTCACGTCCTCAACGTGCTGGGCCGAAATCCAATAGCAATGGATATTATTTGGACGAAGAATCCAAGGGCGAGTCGCAGTACAAGGAGGTTCCGGTGACGTCGGAAGATGTTATTCGTCTGGTGGACGTCGTGCTGTCCCCCGAATTCGTCGACCGATTGTCTGCTGAGCTGTCACGGTGGCAGTTCTGGGTGGACGTTCGGGAGATGTACATTGCGCTGCTTAATAGGCAACATCCGCCTGGATCTGCTGGTGCCAATGGGGAAGGAGGACCCGTCGGAACAGGAGGCAGCGCCACCAACTCGCGCAATTTCAAGTGGAGCAGCATGCAGCTGTGGGAGATCTGGAAGGAGCTATCTTTCGCGTACACCAAGACGTGCTTCGAGTTCACCGCTGCTGGTATGAACAAGAGTGAGCAAGACCTATATATCGCTTCAGCCTGCTGGGGGTTCAAGCTCTTCATTGAGTGTAGACCCCACGATGAGATGCGAGCGATATCTTATGAAAAATACTGGTACTGACATATGCTATGATGTTTTTATTGTTGCAGGAGTGGACGATCGGGAGTATATCAACTTCTGCGACGGCAGACCGGACGTGTATTATCTGCATCAAAGACTACATCTCCGTCCAGATCTGCTGCATTTGATCAAGTCTAACGAGTATATCGATGAGAAGTGCACCAGCGACGCGTCTGAGACCATCGCACACGAGCAACAACAAGCTCAGCAACAGCAACAAGCCGGACCTTTGGTGGGTACTGGGTCTCCTCTACTACGCGCACACAAGCGCTACAAGCGATCTACTCCCATGGCGGCCGGATCGGCTTCCACCGCGTACAACAGCGCGCGTGCCATCGCTGCCTTCCGTAACGGCAACGCAGATGGTTCTGGCGCTGCTAATGGAGGGAATAGTGGCGACAACGGATTAGGTCAAGGCAGCGGAGACTCGCGCGGTCACTCACCGGAAGAGAACAGTACGGAGAACTCGGAGACGACGGGAGAAGAAGCAAGCAGCAACACGGCCAACTCGAACGCCAGCAATAGCTCGCAAGACGTGTCGATGCGCGCTGCACTGGCCGAGCAGAAGTACTTTGGACTGTTGTTGCAGAACTTTGAAGTGATCTTCGAGTCGCTGCACAACAAGAAGGTGCTTTTGGCCACACTGCGTAAGGACAGCAAGGCCCCAGATCACCTGATTGCGGATCTGCACGACGATATCCACGTGCTGTCGGCGCTCAAGAAGGAATTCCGTAACAAGCTGCGACGCACGATACAGTGAGTCGCGACGATGTCGAGTTTAGTGTCAGGGAATGTTTAGCGACAGTGGCTATTTATCGTAATTATGAGGCCGATGAAGCCCTTTTCAAATTCAAATTAGCCAATCAAATCGCTTCGCGCAAAATAGACTACAAAGTTGAAGTTTTCTTTCGTTGGTATTTTTTTTTATAAAATATTTTTTTTGTTGCGATGGGGGCGATGGTGAGTGCTTGTGTCTGGCAATACGCGGATATTCGATATGGGTTTCTGGATCAAGAGCTGGGCTTCGACAACTTGCATGCGTTGGCGGCGCAAGGACGGCACAAGGCTGTTCGCAAGCTGCTGAGGCATGGCATGGACCCAAACGCTCGTCGTATGGAAGGAGCGCTTGGAGCGGACGATGATGAACGAGGCGATTCTCCTATGATCTGTGCTACCAGGTTGGTATAAACTGTCGATTTGTTGCAGAGCTGGGCTAATGAGATTGTAGAGGTGATCTGGGCAACAAGGACCAACAGCGACACGTAAACACGCTCGAAGTGCTGCTACATTTCGGAGCGAAGGTCAATCAGCCCAATCTGGTACGAATTGTGGCTGTTGCTTTTGATCCTGCCATTAGCATCTGAATTTTGGTTTATTAGCTGAACCAGACGCCTCTGTACGTTGCGTGTGAGCGAAACTTGTTGCGCGTCGCAACGTGGTTGCTGCAACACGGCGCCGACGTCAATATCAATTGCAAGGTGGGATCTCGAAATTCTTTTATTTTGAAAGGTTTTATTGAGAAGCTTCGTTGTCAAATGGACTAGACGGGTGTATCGCCACTCATGTGTGCATACCAGAACCAGAACGAGACGCTCGCCACTATGTTACTCGAGAAAGGAGCAGTCGTCATCCGTCCGCCTACGACGTTTAGCCACATCAAGGTAGCTTTGCTTTGTTTCGCCTTTTCTTTCGATAGAAGTGCTTACAGACGTTTAAAAAAAAAAACAGTTCCCTGAGCTCTCAGACGAGCTTGACAATGATGAAGCTTCAGCCAACGACAAACAAGCCGCCAAGTTGCATTCATCTCTGCAGCAATTCGTCGACCGCGAGGCAGAGCGACGAGAAGGTTTGCTAAAAGCTGCTCATGAGGCACAACGTCTGGAGGATCAACGTATATACCGAGAACAGCTCGCTAAAGAGGGGTCTAAACGCAAAGCTCGTCGTCGTCGTAAACGTCTGGAAGCCCAGCAACGACGCAATTTGCCTCCAGTGAACGCCGCCTCCGACATTGATCGTGATGAGGAATACTTACGTAGTAATTCTGCACCTAGTCAGGATGGTCTGTTACTATGGGAGAAGAAAGCGATGAATCCTCGGGCCCCATCTCGAAGACCTCAATGGGTAGCGAGACAGATTCACTGTACGCAACAGTCACAGAACCATCGAACCGAGTCGGAACACGACTTCATGTGTCAGTGTACCAAGCTCTACGAGTCAATTGAGCAAGAGCGCAGTCGTCGAAGAGCTAACTCCATCACTACCGTAGCAACAAAGTGATCATAATAGTCAATGCGATCTTAGCTTTGAAACGCCGCGCCTACTCAACCAACTTTGTATAACGAGAACTTTAGACAGAGATAAGAACACAAGTATGCCTGGACGCGTGAGCGAGCACCACCAAGAAGAGGTGCGTGCAAACTGAGACCTTGGTTGCGCAAGTCTCACGCTATTTCTTGTAGCTGAGCAAGTTCCTCAAGTTCTTCCGCTCGCGTCTCAAGACGCACCTGGAGAACGTTGAAGCCGATTTCGAGGACACACGATCGGACCGGTTGTCGTCCGAAGAAGTCTACAGCCAAAAAGACATCCAAGAAGCCATCACGTCGCTATGTTTCGCCGTCAAGGTGGGAACAGCCACAAATTAATGATCAATGCAGTACTTTGACAGGTGATATTATTCTGCTTAGGCCAATATCCGCAGTGAGCTGCAGGACACTATCAACATGATGGCGTTATTGCTGCGTCAGATCTTCATTGAAGCCGAGGATAGCGTACGTCCTGCACTGCACTACAGCAAATTGTAAAATGACAAGCGACTAATTCTGTAACTTATAGAATCTTGCGCTGGACCTGGACATCGCCATGGTAGAAGATAAGGAGCTGCTGGAGCGTGTGGAGCAGCTCAGTGTATCCGAATGGACCAGTGGAGACTCAAGTAGTGCGGCGCAGATTGGAGCCATGCCGAAAAGTAAAGCAAAAGTTCAGGTCGACGCAGAGGCGAAAGATAAGCTGGAGAAACAGCTTCAACATGAACAGGAGCAGCACGAAGAGGAGATTCGTGCAGCGAAATTGACTTCCAAGCGAGAGCAAGAGGCTCTAGAAGCAGCACACGCCAAGGAGCTGCGGAAGTTGCAGCGGAAGCTCGAGCAGGCCAATGATCGTGTGGAGGAGCTCGAGAAGCAAGTGGAAGACGGACGACAGCACGTCGCCCAGACGGCGCAGTTCCAGTCCATGAAGCGCATGGTCACGACCAAGAACCAGCAGCTACAGGATCTGCGACGCCGACTTCAGCGCTACGAGCCCGACTACGCCGAGGACGACGGCGAGACCAAGGACGCCGATGATGACTAGTTCTTGGAAATTGCAAAAGTAGCCGGACTCAGCAATTATTTGCACTCGCTGGACCTGATACTGTTAAGAAAAAAAATCTGAATGATCATCACTCCTGCACCTGCACTCCAAATGGTAGACAACCTAAAGTCGAGTCTGGGAAGTTTGTCGTCCTTCTCAATAGAATTCGTTCTGGTTTTATCCGCTGCTAGAATGATGGTCCTTTTACAGTCCAGCAAGTCAAGCAGTTACGCCAGCACGAAATCGCACACCAGGGTCCAGAGAGACCTCGTCCAACTGTAAAACTGTCCAATCCGAGCCCCTGCCGCTTACAGGCCGAGCTTGGTGCGGCGCCAGTGGCGACGCTTGGCGTTGTACTTGATCGTGTTGTCAGTGCGCAGACGAATCCACTGCGGGATCGGGCGGTTCTGCTTGGCCTTCTTGGCGAGGATGCGCTTGGTACGGAAGGTCTTGTGCGACGGCTACACAAGGAGCATATTACTTGTTAGAATACTGCTCAGCCACAGTTTTTTCTCTGTATTTCGGCGGCTCCCGACGCGGTTTTCGGCGCAAAAAGCAGTCCGGTCGACACATTATTTAGCGGCGAGCTCAACCATGCGCGCGTCAACCTGATTTCCCTGCTGATCGGCGACCTAGACGCATCGGAAGCCCACGGACACAACACGCATACGCACCATTTTGGAAGGAATTTATTCGGACTGACGCGCTATTAGGAAGCGAGCGAGCCAACAGCGTCGGGCTGCCAACCAGCCAATTCAATCAGCCGCGTAATTACGCCATATAAATGTCCGTAAAAAGGGTTCTTACCAAACTTGGTGTACGTCACATCATGATTCTACAAAAGTGAACCCATTTGAACATTTATTTGACGTTTATATGGAACGGCGTGTCTGCTATCCCTCAACCTGGTTTCTTTACGTGTAGTGCTGTTACATGTATGCAAGCCGTACAATATTACTCCATATAGAACGCAATACGCACTTTTGCGTGGGTTGACAATTACCCGTTGGTACCAGCAAGCGCAGCGGTTCAGGCCTGATTTCTTTCACTTCTCACACCTTGGAGGTGCAAATCCATTTTTCTACGCTTGGCTTCACTTTGCAATCGGCTTTCGCAGGGTGTCCGCCGAAAAGGACTTGGTTTTTGTATTGACCTCTAAAAATCCACTCTTTTCACTTACTTACATTATCAACAATTGGCCTCATTCCTCATTCGACGCACATGAAGGCGCCGGTAGGTTCCGCGGGACCGCCGCGAGTCGACAGCGATGAACTGGACGTCGCCACAGGCACCTCCGCGTTCTCCGTGTCACCCTCATCACCGTCACAGTCTTCGCGTGCGCTGGATCGCTCTGTGGGCGACACAAACGCTTCCAACTTCTCGGTGTCACCTTCGCCGCTCTCGTCGCCGTTGCATTCGGTTCTGAGGCCTCCAGTCAATATCACGACCTCGCCACCACCTTCAGAACCGTCTACCGGCTCTGCAGACTCCCAATCACCGCTTAAATCCGCTCTGCGCAAGCCCAACAGTCCGCAGAAGCCCAAAATCGCGCGAAGAGTCTCCATCGAACACAATGTGCAAATGGACGCAGAATCCAGACGAAACCGAGAGAGATTGAGCTCCTCTCAACATTCCGCAGCTTCAGCCGAGTCCGCACGCTCTGGATTGGGCGACTCGGGCGTGAGTTTGCGGTTCCGACGGACACCCACGAACAGCAAGACGTCGCACCGCAGCTCCTTCGCTATGCGAGACACTGTGCTGTCCAGAATGTCGTCCAACGTGGGTACATTGCGAGAGAGTTTCTTCGGCGTGATAGGCAGAGGCACAACCGTGAACGACCCACTGGAATTGTCTCCAAACCAGGAATTCGATCTGGATGTCATTGACGAAAGTGGGGGGTTGGATGAAAATATCGGACAGATTCTCAAACCTCAAGTGGATTTTAGCAATTGGTCCAAGGAAGGGTACCTGGTCTTATCCGTGGGTCTGATCTTATTGGTCATAATGGTCATTTTGGCGGAAACAGTGAATTCTCTAAATGGGTACAACATCGACCCGGGTCTCGTATTTGGCTCGCTATTGACACTGATCCTCTGCGTCTGCGTCTTCGTGACGTATCATGGCGTGCAGAGCTACCAGAGACACCCCAATCCACTGATTTACTATAAATGCGTCATCGATATCTTCTTGGCGCTGAGGTTCTTACTAGACCCGATGCTACTGGATATGGGCGTATACAAAGCGGGTGACGAAGCTTCGTGTGCGTATTTATCCGGCATTACGCAGTTTCTGTATCTTTCAAGTGATTGCTGGTACTTTGCGCAGATTGTGGATCTCTATTGGTCCCTTACGAACCCATTTATGAGCGTTAAGGCCAACCGAAGATGGTTCAAGATCATGGTGTACTCGGCTGGAGCATTTACCGGTATCTTTGCAGCTTTTGTTCCTGGCGTACATGGACTAGCAGATGGTAATTATTGCTGGACGAAGCGCAAGACGACGGATGACCCTGTGGAGCGAGACTTTTTTCATCTTAACCGAGGAAGTTGGCTACTTTTTTACATGTGGATGATTTTATTTTATCTTTCGGGGATCGCAGTATTAATTTTTGGAGTGAAGAGACTTCGGTCGGGACTGCGTGATACGTTGCAGAGTCGTCGGGAAATGTTACGAAATGGAGCTCTGTCGATCATGAGTTACACTATTTACTGGACGATTGTGTTCATCTGGTACGCTCTGTCCTTCCAGACACGCACAACGTACGATAGGAACGGCAAATTCCCACCAAGTCACATTTTCCGTGCGTTTACGTTCACACTATCAGCTCGTGGCGCCGTGGACTATTTTGTGTGGTTTATGATAAATAGTCCGAGTTTGATCCGACCGAATTGGCTCAAATTCTCGTCTGATTCGGCCGATAAACAGTTTAGCGCACAGCTAAATACTGCACTGCAGGAAGAGCTCATTTACTTTACGATCGAAGGGATGACGCGTGCGATTCAGATAGCGGAAGAAGATCTCATTCGCATTCGAGATAGATCCCCCACACAGGAGCTGGTATTGGGCGTAAGTGACGATGAAGACGACCGAACTTCACTTGGCGAGGCTGCGACGACAGCCACGGGCGTTCCTGGAGCAGGCAGCAGTAGCAATTTACTGCAAAGCATGCAGAAAAACCGCATGCTGAACAGTATTACCGAGGCTATCAACGCTGGTCTTCATCGTAACAGCAGCGCCGACGCAGAAGCTCGACGCACCAAGAAGAAGAACAGTAAGGAGCCTGATTTCAGCTTCGATATCCCGCAAGAGCAGCGATCCATGCAGTCCAACGTCGAGCGTCATGTGAATAATCCGTCCTCTGCTTCAACTGCTGCTACGTCTCCAAGTCGTGCGTCGGGTACTACGACCGCTTCTATCCGGTTTACACCGTACAAGCCTCAGGCGTTTGCGGAGTTGCGTCAGGCTTACGGGATCAAAGCTGCAGATTTCCTAAAGTCATTCCAGACCAGTACAAAGCCCAATATTAGCGAAGGTGCCAGCGGTGCGTTCATGTTCTTCAGCGGTGACAAGAAGTACATTGTGAAGTCTATGGCTGAAGAGGAAGCGCGATTCTTGTGCGAGATCGCAGAGAAGTACACGGAGTACCTGACGTTGAATCCGAGCTCGTTGGTCACCAAGTTCTACGGCTGTTTCAAGATCACCATGTACGACAAACGGTTCTACTTTATCGTGATGGAAAACCTGTTTGATGTGATGGAGGAAGGCGTTCAGATACACCATCGATTCGATATCAAAGGGTCGTGGGTGAACCGAAGCTACAAGCGTCCACGTCGCGGTGCCAAGGTGAAATGTCGGCACTGCTCTATGATGTTTAAGTATGGCGCCAAGAAGAGTTTACTGCAGTGTCCGAACGTCGTGGGTCTGCACGAACCGAATGTGGTTTTAAAGGATAACGATCTGCGTACGAGGATGAGGATTGGAACGGAGGAAGGTGTGGAGCTGTACGAGCAACTGCGCGATGACTCGTTGTTCCTGTGTGACCTGGGGATCATGGACTACAGTCTTCTCTTAGGAGTCATGGACATCGAGTTCGTGGTGGATCAGCCTTCCAGACAGCCTAGCAACTCGGTCTTAAGCGAGCGCACGGCGGCTAATACCGCCACTAACACTGCGTCCAACAGTTTAAGCAACGACAGCTTTGTCTCGGCGTCGTCTTCGAACTGGTCATCATCCACTGAGAGCTCCTCGTCTGTAAACAGACCTATGCAGCTCAAGGAAGAGGAAGTCAAGACACCGAAAAAGCTTAACCTGAGTGTAGCGCCGAGTGTGCACTCCCTATTCAACCAGCCGGAAGACCCTCTAAACCGGTCGCGATACCCGTCTACCGGTGGAGAACCGCGCCCTAAGCGCTCTATGCGGAAGAGTAAGCGTGTCTTCGGACCTGGCTACTACTACGTCGGTATTATCGATATCTTGCAGACGTGGACACTGCAGAAACGCCTTGAGCGGTTCTGGAAGGTGGATATTCAACAGAAAGATGGCGAAGGATTGTCGGCTATTGACCCCGTACGGTACCAGCGCCGGTTTGAGACTAAACTGCGCGAGATTATTTCGATTCCGAAGGAATATCACCATCGCCAGCGTCGTAACCAGCCGAAGAACGCCATGTTTCAGTCCGTACAGCGTCTCAGTCCGGTGTTGCAAGCTGCCGCTGCCTTCGAGAGCGCAGCAGCAGCGCAAGAAGCGCGACGTGACTTGGCCCGTGCGCGGGGCGACTCGACCGACACGGACACGTCCGGCACGTCGTCCGGTACGGCGGAAGATGGAGATCTGGAACAGGCAGGAAGGAACCCGCAGCCCATTTTACTGCCGTTTAACCAGAGGCTCATCTCCACCAACTCGACACGCAGCCAGTTGAGCATGACGGATCTCGTGTGAGAGTGAAAAGTTGAAGCTGGCGACCAGCGCAATGGCAAATAGATTAGGATAGGAACTTCAGACGTTGAGTACGTTCATGTGAATTGCACGGGGCGGCTAGTGCCTCTCTTGTGTCGTGTACCATAAAGAAACGTTTTCACTTCAATGTGCGTCGATCTTCGATGGTCGAAGTACCGCTGTCTGCACAGATCTTAGCGTGGTACAGCGTTTCTTGGTCCAAGGCTTGTAGTCCACTCTACCACGAACTTGTCGACCCTGGCTTCTGCATCGATAGCTTCCATGCTCTCGTTATTCATGTTGCTGCTGTTGCTGGTGCTTGTTTCTTGTTGCATTAGAATTTGCAGAGCTTAAGTATTTGAGCCGCGAGTTGTGAACGAGTGATGCAAATTGCGGGGCAAAACTGCAAAATTGCCATCCTCTTCTTTCTGATTTGCGCCACAGATTAGTGGCATCTTTTTCTTGCATCTGGCTTGTCATCTGTCGGGTTCCGAATGCTGGTGATCGACGTAACAGATGAAATATACTGATTTCACTATACCGTCGTCCGAACTGACGCCGTCATTTCGACACACAGGAAAGGCGAGCAGCTCCCTGTGTGCTCTTCGCGACGACAACCGGACCTGGCTATTGAAAAGCCATCGACGGCAGCAGGTTATCTACGAGGCTTCCGTCGAACAGGCTGGTAGAAGCACAGACCTCCATGCCGATGGACGACGCCCACCCGGACGCGGACGTGCTGTCCTGGCACGAGCAGGTTCAACGCAAGGCGTCGCTGCCCAGAAGCGACAGCTTACCACAGGACGAGCAGCGTCCGCGAGGCAAGAGCGCGCCTGGAGTTGCGCCCAACGCACCAACAACAGGCGACACCCCGCCGCGACGTCGAGGCTTCTCGCTGGCGCGTCACCAGTCTGTGCCCAGCATGTCGGTCGGCAAGTCCCGACGCCGTCGGAAGGTGACGTTCAAGAACATGTACGCGCCCGACGTGGTGCCTCCGCCTAAAGTGGAGAGTTACGATGATCTGGTGTTCAACGTGGCCGGTCTGTTCCACACCACGTCGTTCCTACACGACCCGGAAGACTGGGGGGACGACCCGACCGGCAGCATGTCGTCCGAAGACGATTACTACGATCCGGAACCGCCTCTGGAGCGCTCCGTGCCGCTCATGATCGCCGAGTTCCTCTACCGCTCGGCAGTGTTCCTGGGCTACCCACAGGGCGACACCCCGTGGCTTCCCGGATTCCGAGAGGAGAAGCGATTTTCCGGGAACGACGTGAAGCGCTGGAGACGACTCGCGCACTTTGACTGGGAGGCGGAGGAGCGGGAGTTCCAGAAGAACCACCGCAAGCCTGCGCCAGTGACAGAGGCACAGCCACGACTCGATCGTACTGAATCGGTGGAATCCAATGGGCACACGTCCGTCATGTCGGCGATTGGGACGAGTTTCCGAATGCGACGACAGGAGAGTACCGTCAGTGTGGACTCGACGTCGTCCAGCTCGAGTATGCGCAGTCAGGACAATCAGGTCTCGGGCAAACCGAAGTTCCGTCGGGCGGTATCCGGATGGATCCGAAAGCATCGCCGTCAACTCAGTAAGGAGAACAACACGGTGACAGAACAGGCGAGCGAGGACGAGAGCGTCGACACGAGCGACGAGAAGAAGAAGCGCAAACACAAACCCGTGTCGTGGCTCAACCCGCCGCCCATTTCTTCGTCTCGAGATCTGACGCTGCTTGTGGACATTATCAACTCGTGCGTCTACTGCGGACAGTTCCAGTTCCGGAAACGCGATATTGTGCGTCTGTGCAATATCAAGACTTAGATGCAAATTATTGCGCTGCTAGCCGAAGGAAGGTAGAAGCGCAAACTTTTTAGTGTTCTAACAGTTTCATGGCGTTTTGTCAGTCGTGCATCAAGTTACGAACTGTTTCCAGTATTTGCCAAACGTTTTCGGTTTCATATTTCGTTGTTTCCTTCACTTATAACTAAAAAAATCTCCTTAAGTTTTTTTTTTCCCCAACTTTCTTAGATCCATCCGTCCTCCTCCACGATGAACTCGAGACGCACCAAATCGCCAATCTCATCGGGCGAGAAGAGAACTTCACCGAAGTTCACGCAGCAGTTGACCACGGCGCAGAGCTTGTCGAATTTCACGTTGGACGGCACTTCCAGCTCCTCCTCTTCTTCCTCTTCCTCGGGCTCCTCCTCGACCACACTCTCGCTAAGTGATCGGTGAAACGATAAGCTCTTCAGTCTCCGACGAGTCCTCGACTGACCGTCACTATCACTATCAGTGCCCTCCGTCACGGCAGAGCTGGTGCGCGACGACGGCGCCTCGACGTCTTTGCCCTTAACACCCAGAGCCGCAGCGGCCTGAGCCGTCGTCACTTCCTCGAGCATCCAGTCGTGAAGCGCCAGTCGACGCCACATGCGGATCTCCTCATTCGAAATATTCACCACATTACCGTGTTTCGTACGAGTACCGTGAAGGAAAGCCATGGAGCGTTCGAGGAACTCCTGCACCTTCGTGGTCGTGGGTCGCTGATCGTGAGCCGCAAACTTGCACACGCGCACCAGCACATCGTCGTAGCTCTCCAATGCAGTGTAAGCACCAGCAGCGCCGTCGTTGGCGTCCGATAGGATAATCGTCGGTTTTAAACTGAACCGTGTACGTTTAGCAACTCCTGGCGACAGTACTTCCTCGGTAGGTACGGGACTCGGTACTTTGCGTCCCGAAATAGAGCGACGATGCAACTCGGCCGCTTTTGCCTTTTCGGCTGCAAGTGCAAATTTGCGCGCCTCGGAACTTCGTGAAAAACTCGTGCGGTCTTTTTGCAAATCAAGATCGACGTTGCCACGCCCGCCGATAAGACGCGCCTGGATCGGCAACTTGCGCCAGATTTTCGAGATGAGGTGAGTGGGCGCTTGCTCCATGAAGTCCATACTCTGCGAGCGACGGTCGAGGCCACGCGTCGGCCGCTTGGTGTCCTCGTAGTCGTCGTCACTGTCCGAGTCCCACGTGGACGCGTGGGGCTTGACAACTGCCTGCTCGTTCTTGGAGTACGACGCGCGTTTAGCAAGTTCTGCTTCTTCTTTCTTCTTCTCCTTTCTAGCAGAAGAAGAGAACGACAGCGACATGCCACGCTCTTTTTTCACGCGCTTTTTGCCATTTTTGCTTTTCTCCGGCGAGAATACGGTACTATTCTGCTGCGGATTGAGGTCCGATGGCTGCAAGGAAGCCCGACCGTGAGAAGGCATGGCCGTAGGCGCTGTAAGGTCCGAGAAGGAGGTGGAGCTTGACTGGTACGAGGACGGAGCGGTCTTTACGGTACTGAAACTGGCCAAACTGTGGCGAACCTGAGTCCGTTGTCCATATCGATTGTTGGAGCTGCCTCCAGAGGGCGGGGCGCTTAGTGTCGCTCCAGGTTGAAGCTGGAGCGCCATGTTGCCATGGACGCCACTGTTGCGCAGTGTCCGGTTGCCCATACAGGGAGGACGGTCGCCTCCTGCACTGACACTTCTACTGCCGAGCTTAGGAGGCTCGAAGGACGTGGAGAAGGAGGAATGCGACGGAGCGTCATTGGAACTGCTCGAGTTGCGACTGCTGCGACTGGAACGCTCTTTGCTGGCCACTTTGCTGCCCTTGCCACTGCCGAAGAGACTGCGACTGGGAGCCGAGTGGAAGGCATTGCTCAGTGTCTGAGTGAGGGAGTTGCGTTCGCCGTCCTCTGTTGCCTTATTGGCCTTGGGCGTAGCAGCTTGTGCTCCGTAGGGGAGTGACATGACAACAGGCGGCGTGGGCTCTGACGACGCGCGTTTGTCTTTCCAGCCTGAGAACGAGAAGCTCGAGTGACGTCCCTCCTTCTTCTTGGACGGTTTCTCGCGAGCTGCGGCCTGCGCTTCGGCCGATAGTTCCGCGTCTAGACTGGTGGCGCTCATGCGCCCAGTGAACGAGAAGCTCCCGCTGCGACGAGAGCCCGGGAAGATCTTCTTGATGCCCGAATAGACGTCCTTGACCTGCTGCGACATCGTCTTTCACTGTCTTCCTGTATGGCACGACACCCGTAGTATACACAACGCGAGAGGAAGGGCTTGCCAGTCGAGCCACTTGCTGTCGTTTGCCTTCGCCGCTTTGAGATGTGAGCTATCGTGCGAGCTCGACGAAAGAAAGGGAGCAACTCGGTGGGCAGACTTTGCCCCAAATATGACGAAATGGGTAATTGTAGAGTTCTGAAAGTTAGAAATGCTTACTGAAATGAAAAACATCGTTTCTATGTTTTGATATGATTTGAGTTTATTTAGATATGTACCTATTAATTTGGGGATATTGCTCAAATTAGCCCTATTCACGGGCAGAAATCAGGATCAGCATGGCGGGCCTTTTTACCTGGTTCGCGCGGTGCCTTGACCGGCTGATTGGCGGAGCGCCCTCGGGCTCCGATGGCACGTGTGCGAGGAAGCACTTGCATCGTGAACTTCATCATGAAAAGCGAGCGCTCGCTGCCGAGCTGGCCATTTGGGTGTGTATTGGCTATCCTGAATTTCACAATAATTTTGGTGTCGCTTCGTGGGCAAAAAAAAATAACGGCCCGCGACGATTGCCTCGCCCAGGGAACGTTCTCAAGAAGATGGGGAAAGCTGTACTGTCGACCTTCATTTGCTAACTGTACGGCTGTTACAAAGCAGTCAGTGCGGACTTACGCGGAGGGTCACCTCGAAAGTGACACGTTATGCGACGCTTGAGCTGACTCGTGAGCTTGAAGCGTTGCACACTCGAATGGCTCCACTTTTGTCGTTGATCGTTCTGATGTCTCAATGCGTTGCCCTCTTCTCAATCCCCTCGTTCCAAAGCAGTCACGCAGTTGCAGCATTATTGGCAATGGAGGAGGAGATAGGATTCATTGCGCACGCTGCGTGAGAGTCGGAAAGCGTTAGGACATTACATGCAAAAGCATTCGGTGGACAAGAGTGCTAATGCTGGTGGTGCCACGACGGAGCCATGGCTCGAAGCAGATGATCCAGAGGAACGCCAGACCTCCTGTAGACGTCGCATCAATGCGTCACAAGAGTGCAGGAAGCGCTTTGCGATGGTTGGTCCACAGTGGTTGAGTTGCGCTTTTAATCCTTCTAGTTGTTAGAATGAAAAAAAAAAACAACAAAAAACTGCTTGACGCGGTCAACAGACAGACCCCTTACTGGTGAAAGACACTTAAGTTAAGCTGTGCAATGTCAAGTTAATCGAGGCAATGCAGTTTGTTAGAAGCTTTGAACCGCAGTAGAGTTCTGTCCCAGCAGCATCCAGGGCTGTGGATGTTGCTTTTCTTTAAAATGAATATCCAATCATTTTTTTAAATTATCTATTCTTCAAATGAATTCAAGCATTGTTCTTTCGAAGATATGAGCCACGACTGCTCTCGCGAGTATGTCAGAGAAATCCAAACCTGGCGGTGTAAATTTGCTGGCTACCGGTGCTGATCGTTTTCTCATGTTGTTGCTCTCTTATCTAAGTCTGAGCCCTCGCATCTGAACCAGTCACGCAGTTACTTCACCTTTCCAGCTTGCTAGCTCAATATGTCGGTTCAAAACATCGCTACCAATAAAACGATGGTAGCTCCGACGGTGTTGGGGGGCGGTGGAAGGTGTGCAAAGAACTACACTTGCACTGACGGGATTTAGGTGCCAAGCTACCCATCAGGGAAGCCGTACGCCATTAAATCAATACTGAATTTGCTCCATAGGTATTGTCGTTTTATTGGCCTTTGACACTTTGAGCTCATATTGAACTTGTAATTTGCACACTCGGACAGCGCGACGCATGTTTGCCAACCACTGCTCCAGAGTCGGTATAGCATCGGCAAATTCAAGTTTGAAAGTCATTAGGTGTGCAGAGCACGATGAGAGCGCTGGTGCTGCGCCGTATCCATGACTTGAGGATGTAGATAAGTCCAAAGGACAGCTAGACCTCTTGCAGACGCCGCTTTGCGACATGGTCGAGTCGCTGTTAGGCTCAACCCGCTTGAAGCGATCGACAGAACAGAATCCACTCTGTCTAGACTGTAATGTGTTGCCTACCGGTAGTTTGTAATGGCAATTTTGAAGCAATATGTGAAAGCTTGGCTTTGTTGTCCATTTCTGTGTGCCACGGTGCTTCTAGGTCAAGCGCAACGATTAGGATGGCACGAAAGGGTTTACTGGAGGTTCTTCTTGAGTCTTGTTGAGCACCTTCGCAGTAAACGGTAACACAGTCCTCCGCAAGCACCGTTTTCATCTGACACGTGCTATGGCGATCCTTTCAAGCCGATATTAGTTGACTCCAGACAGCAAGCTGTTGCTCAGCTTGCATCGTTGTTAGCTGCTTCTAGTACTACTAGTAGTAGTATACACGCAGTGCATTTACGTCACCCTCGGCCAGCATGTCTGCCGACTGTGAACGGACAATCGCCCTCACATTACACCACCGCAAGAGCACCACCGTCGCTGGCTTAACCATCTCGAATCTTCAACACCCTGCATGTTTTGTGTTTATCTTGACTGCTCCGTTGCCCTGCACCTGTACCTGTTCCCGTGAAACCCGAGCAATATCACAAAAGCATTCCTAGCTGACGGCCGACACATTGGAGAAAGAATGCCTCGTTTATTATGGCGAAAGGTAGTTGCTGGCATCCCCACGACCTGTCCGACGTCTTGACATACTATCGAAAAGGCCCCTGTCTCTCTTCTGCCGCAAATTCTCCGCTGGAAAAGAGACTGAGGAGACGCAACGAACTCCCATTCCTGAACAGAGCATCAGCTACTACCGCAGCTGCGCGCAGGCTGCAATGCTTTTAAACAGCGCAGCAGCTTACGAGCGCTTGGGGGCGAAACGACGCGGGGGCGGGGCACGGCTCTTACGGGCCTCGATCGAGCGACCACGCACAATACGCTGGTGGATGGCGGCTTCCACGCAGTAGTAGTTCTTGATGTAGATCTTGGGCAGAGCGTACGACTCGTACACGGACGCCTCCTTCAGATCACGGATGGCCGACTGGTCCACGATGTTGCTGCAGATTGATAAACACATAAGGTCAGTGTAAATGACCTCAAGCGTATTATACGCCATGGGGCGTTATTTTCGCTGTTGCGCTCTTTTACGACGTACCGCACAACGAAGCGCTTGATGGCCTTGTCCTTGGGGATGAGCTTGGCCGTGGACACGCAGTGCACACGCTTCACGTGGCCGCGGCCCTTCTTGTTACGTCCGTGGTTGCGGCGCTTCACAGTCATGATTCCTCCGTTCTTTTCTCCAAATTGACTGAGCTACTTGCAGGGAATGAGCTGCCCAAAACGAAGCGCTGGCTGCCACCAACTTGCCACGACAGATGATTGGACACAAATTGACTCTTTTTGGCGAATCAGAATTGGAAACCTATCCGCAGTCACTGTTCGGATGGAGTCACTCAAGCGGGGCAAATAAGTTATTGTACCTGAAAGCTTGATGCATATCTATGACGGAAGGATGCTTGCATTCGCTACATGCTTGTTGCTAGGGCCTACAAATTCGATGAAGACAAACGCAACTCAAGTGTCTAAAGCAAGTAGTATGTCAGTGTCTGCACTGCAAACCCATCAATACATGTTATTTTCTTTTTCTGGTGTTGGAAAGTTGTAAGTATAGTCGTCCTGGGCTGGCAGAAATGCTGAGCAGACAGCGTCTTCACAGGCACGCACGCACTGGCGCACCTAGTTAAGGATAACCGTCGGCAGACGATAGAATCCGTGTGCAGATTGACATGTTTACTTCAAGTGCTTCATGATCTGAGGGACGGACTGCAAAGATCAATAAAATAAAAATGTTAGCCCAAAAACTTCATCAAACGGTTGCGACTACAGCAAGGGCGTACGCATTTGTCGATGCAGTGCAGGAAGTCGAAGTACTGGCCGTCGCAGGAGCCGACGCCCTTGGCCTTGACGCGGTCCAGACAGGCCTGGTAGGCGTTGAAGGACTGCTCGCACTTGGGCTCGCACGCCTTGCGGATCGCGGGCATCACATCGACAGGCTCTTCGTCAGACTGCGGATGCACATCCAGATAATTGTTAGACTACTGCAGTCGTGGCTGCACAGAAGGTGAGCGTCACACGCACCATTTTCAACAGCGTTCCGAAGTCTCGAATGGGGGCGAATGAACGGTGTGCGGTCCGGGGGACTCGAAACCTGAACCCCCAAAATCCCGAAACTGATTGGCTAATTTAGTGTCTTAAGAGTCATGGTTCACAGTACTTAATTGATGTACGCCACACAATCATCGGGGGGAGGCTGCTGGGCCGCACGTTCGGGTGGTCCGTCCAGCAACAGTCAAAAGCTCCTCTCTCTGTGGCCATGCTCTCTCGCAGTGTGCGTGCTCTCCGTGCCAGTGCCGCGCAGCTCAGCGCGCGCCCGGTCGCCGCCGCGGGCTTCCACTCCTCCAACACCGTTGGAAGCAGCTTCGTGCAGGTACTGTAGCCCGAGATACGGCCATTTGACTAAGCCATCAATTCGCTGCCTTCCGTCGCTAAATCTCTGTTTTACGCCTGCAATTTAGCACCGCGACACGGAGGACAACAACGCCGACACACCGTTCGATTTCACACCCGAAAACTATGAGCGTGTGCACGCTATTCTGGACCGCTACCCAGAGAACTACAAGACGTCTGCCATTATCCCGCTTTTGGACTTGGCACAGCGTCAGCACGGAGGATGGCTGCCACTGGCGGCTATGAACAAGGTGGCACGTATTGTGGACGCCAAGCCCATCCAGGTGTACGAGGTGGCTACGTTCTACACCATGTTTAACCGCGAGAAGGTGGGCAAGTACTTTATCCAGCTCTGCGGCACGACACCCTGCATGATCTGCGGCTCGGAGGAGATCAAGAAGACCATTGAGAACCACCTGGGCATTAAGGAAGGAGAGACCACGGAGGACGGCAAGTTCACGCTGCGGGAGGTCGAGTGTCTCGGCGCGTGCTCCAACGCCCCCATGGTGCAGATTAACGACGACTTTTACGAAAATTTGACACCCGAGACGACTCGCGAGCTGCTGGACGCGTGCAAAAAGGATGTTCCGCCTCCGATGAACAAGTGGGGCAGCTTGCCCATGAACGGCCAGCTGTCGTGCGAAGGCCCGCAGGGTAAGACGACTCTCAAGTGGGACAAGGTGCCTGGCCCGGGCTTCCGGATGCGTCCGGATGACGAGCTTAAGCCCAAGGTGGACCCCAAGGACATCAAGGAAGCCATGCTGTACTAGTTCCCTCTACGGGATAATTAAACTGGAGCAGGGAGTGGGCGTTGATCTCCGCTCGTAGCACTACACTACATGGCCAACAGGTTGACGCATTTCATGTATTTTGGCGGATCTTGCTGGCCCAGCGACGAGCAGAGGACTTTTTTAACTCTCACAATAACAAAAGAAAAAGAATAAACGGTGAATGCTCAAAAACTGTAACGTGTTGTTCTGATTGACTGCTACAGCAGCAGCAGGATGCAAGCTACTAGTATGTAGTAGCAGTACTATACTAGCTGTGTAGCTTTCATCAACAGTCTGATATCGAGCCTTGACGCGCTGGGTCTCGTTCACTCCCTTCAACTCGCCTCATCTAATACTTCGATGTGAGCTCCTCTCATCACAATCAAGATGATTACTATGCCGTGTCGCAGTCAAGACGAGGTCTGTGAGAGACCGTCTTGGTGCACTTTGTCACTTTTCGAGAGTACCTCAAGCGATGCTGGCGATTAAGAAGTTGTGGCGAGGACAAGCAGCAGTCACTCAATCCGCACGTCGCATTTTCTCTGGTGCTTCCGTGTCTGGAAAGCAAGCTGACAAACTCGGGGTAAAATTGTGAGCTCGTCGTTCGTCTGCAGTTTTTTTTTTTTCACATGCTGCTAACGACTGCATGAATGGTAGCCGGTCACCTGGAGCAGCTTGGCGTTAGCGGGTGTTGTAGGCAGCGGAGCCGTGTATTACTACCAATCTGAGAAAGACCGTCTTCAGACTCAGTGTGCGTGAACGTAGATTGCATGCTCTGATTAACTGGAGGCTAATCAGAGGTGTTGTTTGGTGTGAATAGCCAAGTCCACGGTAACTTTTGTTGGAAAGCCAATGCTGGGAGGGCCATGGACACTTGTAGACTGTGACACTGGACGCGCAGTGACGGATGCATCATTCCGAGGCAAGTTATCACTGTTGTATTTCGGCTTCACCCACTGTCCAGATATCTGTCCAAATGAGTTGGTGCGCATTGGCGACGTGTTGGACAAGCTGGAGATTGACAAGGGCGAAGTTGTGCCGTTGTTTGTCACGGTTGACCCAAAGCGAGATACAATTGCTCAGATGCAAGCCTACAAGGTTGATTTCCACCCCAAGTTCAAGATGCTCACGGGAACTCGCGAGCAAGTGGCTGATATTGTCCAGGCTTATCGCGTATACTTCTCCAAGGCGGATGAGAATGACGACGACGATGATGATTATCTAGTGGATCACTCTATTGTGATGTATCTGGTTGGCCCCGATGGTGAGTTTCTCGACTTCTTTACGCAGAATACTCGTGTTGAAGACATCGCTGCCAAGATTAAAATGTACAGTTGAGGTTTCAGTTCGCTTAAGTAAGGAAGAAAAAGTAAGCAAGCTTGAAGTGAAAAGCTCATCTTCACACCTTCCGTACAAATACTGTCAAGTCTAACCATTTTGAACTGCATTTAAAGATCTCAAATTGAAGTGCTCATTTCTTATATTTTAAAAATGAATATTGATAATTAGGATGAGTTCATACAGGTCACCATTCCAATTGGTCAAAAGGACACCATAGAAATATTTCTATCAGTCGTAATAATGGCTCGCTACGGTGATCGCGATCGGAAGAGGAGACGCTCCCGATCACGCTCTCGCTCCCGCTCTCCTCATTGCTACCATCATGCAGCATCCTCTCTCTCTACATCTCGTCACCAACGTCGTCAATCCCCGTTTAAACCCGTCATCTCCAGCCATCGAGAGACGGAATCTTCAGTATCCGTTCCTCTTCCTGCTCTTGAGCACCGCGAGGAGCTTCTACAAGCTCTAAAAGACCACCAAGTCGTTGTCTGTGTAGGCGAAACAGGATCCGGTAAAACTACGCAGCTTCCGCAATTCTTACACGCCTGTGGGGCGTATACCAGCTCAAAACGTGATGGTGATGAGATATCCCAGTGTATCGCCATTACTCAGCCTAGGCGAGTTGCTACAGTCTCCGTGGCCCAAAGAGTGGCTGAGGAGATGAATACGAGAGTCGGAGGCGACGGACCCGTAGGCTATTCCATCAGATTCGAGTCTCGCTGCAGTGACAACACGAAACTCAAGTTCCTGACAGATGGAGTGCTTGTTCGCGAATGCTTGAGCGACCCGTTACTCAAAAAATACAGCGTCGTGATGCTGGACGAAGCTCATGAACGCAGCATCCACACCGATCTATTATTTGGGCTATTAAAGCAAGTATTGGATAGAAGACCTGGATTCCGAGTGCTTATCACGTCAGCCACGTTGGATGCTGAAAGATTCGCAAAATATTTTGGAAAACCAAGTGAAAAGAAGAGCAAGAAGGTGAAGCCATGTCCTATTGTAAAAATTCCCGGACGAGTGTTCCCCGTGGATATTTTCCATTCCAAGCAGCGACAGATCATGGGACACAGAGGTCCTTTATCCACCTATGTGCGTGCTGCAGTCGAGACGACGATGCAGGTTCATAACAGTGAGGAGCCAGGTCATATCCTGGTGTTTCTTACCGGTCAACGTGAAATTGAAGACGCGTGTGCTCAAATTCGAGCGCTATACAAAGACCAAGAGAAACGAAGCGATGGATTGGACCTACGAGTGCTGCCGTTATACGGAGCATTACAAGGCTCAAGACAGCGCGAAATATTCGACTCAGTTCCTATAGACCGTGTTCGTAAAGTTATTATCGCTACGAATATTGCCGAGACTTCGCTAACTATTGACGGAGTTCGATACGTCGTGGACTGTGGCTTCACGAAGCAAAAAGTGTACAACCCGGTGCAACAGATGGAGTCGCTCGTAATTGTACCGATCTCCAAGGTGTCAGCGCAACAACGTGCTGGTCGAGCGGGTCGTACGGTGCCTGGGAAGTGCTATCGACTGTACAATAAGACGTCGTACGAGGAGATGGCTCAAGAGACTGTACCTGAAATCCAGCGGACGAATCTAGCCAACACAGTGTTGTATCTTAAACTGCTCGGTATCCAGGATGTGATCGGCTTTCCGTACTTAGATCCACCTGACGAAGACTCATTGTTAGATGCTTTAAAGCAGCTATATGTGCTTGGAGCGTTGTCTGATACTGGAGAGGCCACTGCTCTTGGTAAGCTTATGGCAGCGTTTCCGTTAGAGCCCAAGCTCTCTCGTGCGTTAGTGGAGTCTTTACTACTGGATTGTAGTCATGAAATGACTCAAATAGTTGCGATGCTGTCAGTGGAGAATGTTTTTATCGAAATTCATAGAAAGCGAAAGGATCACGATGAACGAGAGAGTGAAGATTGGGAACAAAGAATGTTAGCGTTGAAAGAAGACGGACTTCTACATGAAGACGGAGACCAGCTCACTTATCGACTATTACTCCGAGCTTTCGAGTCCAAAAGTCGAAAAATTCATGACCGTCGTGCTCTTGAACGTTGGTGCGAAGATCGGTATCTTCGCTTTCGTGCACTAACGATGGCTGGATCGATCGTCAAGCAGCTTCGAGATATCATCGACACGCTATCTCGACGTGATCTTGATGCTGTTATGAAGAACAATAACAGACGAGATCTCTCGTTGGATGATCGTCTTCGTCAAGCACTTTGTGCGGGGTTTTTCATGAACGCAGCACGTCGATGTACGATGGAGACGGTGTATCGTTTATTGTACAGTGATGGGAAGGCTCAGCTGGTACAGTTCCACCCACTCTCAGCCATGTGTTACTCTGCTCCACCGGAATTTTGTGTGTATCAAGAGCTTGTCGTTACCAGTAAACCATTCATGCGTGGTGCATTGGCTGTCGAACGTCGGTGGCTGGATTACTTTGGTAATGATAAGCTGAACGTCTCGAATTCACAGCTCTACGCTCTGTGTGGACGCAAAGCTCCAGTCGAGGCGAAAGTTCAAGAAGAATTGATGGATACAAGTCAAGTCAACTTAGTTGATGCTTCAAAGCCAGTTACTGTGACTGCAGATGCCGTCGCTGCAGCCCGCGCTCGCTTCCTGGAACGCAAAAAGCGCTCATAATCTGTACAAGGTGCTGATGGCTTCGTTGGGATTATTTGGTAGTCTAGCGGATACTCACCTGGATCTTGTCAATCAAGCGCTTCAACTCTTCGTTCTCACTCTTCAATTCTTCGTTTTCGCTCGTGAACGCTCTCTCCAACTCGTAGCTGACGGCCATGAACTCTTCGTAGTTCTGGTGGGTGGTCTGTAGCTCCTCGGTTTTGGCCTTCAGCTCCGCTCGTAACATTTCCACCTCATCTGTGGTTGTTTCACTGGTTGCGTACTTGTCGTTGTCTTCAACTGGATTTGCGTGATTGCCTTCGTCCTTTCCACTTCTCTCTACTCCAGTGCATCTTTCCTTCACTGGAAGCCCCACTGCAGTTAACAGACGGTCCATGGCGTTCTCATACTTCTCCAATTCGGAGCTTAACTCGCGGGTTTTGTAGTCTGATTGCAGCTTCAATGTCTCGATCTCCTGCGCCGCAAAGACAACTTCTTCTTCGGCTCGCTCGAGCTTATGCTTCAAGGTCTCTTCTGTCGCTTCCAGTCGACGTACAGACGATTGCAAGTCGTCGTTTTCTTGCTCTAGACGCTGAACGTGCTCACGAAGTTGCTGGTTCTCCATGTTTATAGCTTTTCACTTTTTCATTTTAAACAAGACAGGCGAAATATACATATTTGATAAAAAAAATAATAAAAATCACGCAGCTGGATTTCCTAGTATCTTACTCTGCACGACACTCTGGTTTCATACCGTCACTCTGATTTCTATTGAATCGTGCAGTATCCCTGTGCATCGGAGGCTTTCTTGACCTCGTCCAGACCTTGCTGCGTCTGCTGCATACTCTCGTGCACGTGCGTCTCAATATCGTCGATAGCTCCCTGCTGGTCCTGCACAATGGCGGCCAAGTCTCTAAAGATTTCGTTGACCTGTGCCACACTCTGGTGAATCTTATTGATGTCCTGCTCGCGCTCCTCGATCAGCGCCTCGTTGTGTGCAATCTCGTTCTCAAGCTCTGCGAACTCGAAGACTTGGCCCTGGTGCTCAGCTACGATACGGCCGTCCTGTTGTTGATCCTTGAGCGCTTGTTGCTGCTCCTGTTCACGCGCTGAGACCCGCAATACAGCAGTTTCTAGCTGGTTTGAAATACTCTCAAAGTCTTTGCACAATTTCCGCTTAATGAGCGAGTTGGCGGCGTCCACGGGCACACGGGCCAGCGCCTTGGCGATTTCTTCTTGAAGCAGACAAGCGAAGCGGATACGGTCGTGTAAATCCTCGTCCACGGAGCCAGAGGCGGTGGACGCGCGCTTGATGGCGAGAACTTGGCGCTGGAACTGCTCTAGCTTTAAAGTAGCACCCTCCACGGCCTGGCGCGCCTGAGATGAAGGTAACGAGAGGGTCGCAGTGGACGACATGTTGCGGCCGGCAGCCGGCGGCATCGACCCGTTGGCAGCGAAGTCGGCGAAGCTCATGACGAGATGAGGAAGCGTCGCCTTCTTACCGAGCGCGGTTTTACTGTAGTATCAGTTTTTGATTTTTTTTTTTAAAGCTAAATTTTAAATTAAAAATTATTCTAAATTCTTACAGAGATTTGTCTAAAATTTCTATGTAAGAATATTATTTTAAAAAAAATACTCACTGATTTATCTTTTTTTAATTCTTACTTTTTTTTTAAGACAAGGCTTTCGTCGGTTAAAATTTTGTAAACAAAAAAGTTTTTTTGATAAATTGTCAGCAGCTGAAAAGAAAATTGATATTTTAACGCTTTTTAAGCCATTTTTATAATCCAGTTGATGTTGAAGTTTTTTAACTTGAAAAAAAGTACATTGTATAGAAAAAAAGTGCGCTTTGATATCAGATCACTTTTGATTTATTAAGTTGGGCCACAAGCTTTGAGCACTTTCTCGATACAAAGTACTTTTTTTTGGCTGTTCAGTTAAACCCGAGCTAGTCAGCACGGATGCTGATTGGCCAATATCAAACATAGTGCTTAATTCTCGTCGGTACGCATGCTGATTGGCTGGGATGGCATTCAGACAAAAAAAACCATTAAAATGTTAATGGGTTTTTTTCGTCTGAATGCCATCCAACGGCAAAGCGACATTTTCATCGAAAGTTCTTTCATTGTCGTTGAGTAATAAAATATGGCTGGAAGCCAGTACTGATGATTAGGATGTTATTCAGTGTGATTTTTATTTATTTATTATTGGACGACAAAATTGTCGTTATGTACTGCAATAATTGTATCAATTTACTTTACAGGAAAAACACAAAAGTGTTGGCACAAATGTTGTCAACTACTCCAAGCGGCCCAGTCCATAATTCTGCGGGCTCAGCTACCAAGACACCCCTGTCGTCGGCGACGTGATGTCTGTGTCTGCAAGCTGCTGGAGGCAGTGATTATTCCAAATATTGGAGATAAGGCCGTTAAACCAATGGATGAAGCGGAGCCGACGGTGTGTATCCAGGCAGCTGAGAATGGCCACCTCGAAGTACTCAAGTTACTACTCCCGGCTGCTAAGGGAAATTTAAAAGCCAAGGCGTTAGGACACGTAGGAGGCAATCGCAGACTCCGCAGTGGGGAAGAAGTCAGTGGTGTTGGCAATGCTGTTCTTGAGTAGCAGCGCTCGGATATCTGGACGGACATTGACGAAGACGACGGGAATGGCGTGGTTGTTACAGTATTTCTTGAGGATGAGAAAAGCGCCACGGGCTGCTGTGGCGTCCATGCCGGCAACACGAGTGAAATCCATGACAACATACTGCGTTGGTGAAGCGTCATCTGGTGCAGGGGTGCCGTCTAGACACTGAACTGGGACATCGCGGTTCGGAAGGAAACTAGACTCGTGCGATAGCTGCAGATCCAAGTAGTTTACGGTGCTTGATGATTGTTTCGTACCGTTGCTTTTGCGGACGTAGACACCTTTCTGTACGGTCTCGAGGATCTGCACAGCAGAACCAAAGAAAAGATATCCACAAAACTCAAAATGAGCAACACCAGCATGTTTTCCGGTTTGAACCGTGCCCTCTAAAAGCTCCAGTTCGGCTGAAGTATCGGTGTCATCGTCCACGATAGGAACTCGGATGTAGCTCAACATGAAATTAAGAGCTGCAACACCGATTCCAATGAGCATACCCAAATCCAGCGACACCAGGTTGATCGCAAGAAACGAGAGCCACACCACAGCCCACTCGCGGATGCACATCTTACGATATGCAAGCACCAGCCACTCGAGCATGAGATCCAAAGCCACGAAGAAGAGTGTGGCAGCCAAGAAGAACCGAGGCACGTAGCTCATGACGGACACTGGGACCACAACAATCGCGATCTCGGCCAGGATGACACACACTCCGACGACCCGCGAGTTGGTCTTGGAGCGGCAGGTGAAGATCGTCTGACCAAAGATGTAGGATCCCGTGTAGCCTCCGAGTAGTCCACTGACGACGTTGGACCAGCCCACAGTCTTGAGTTCGTGGTTGATGTCGAGCTTGGTCCCCATGTC